ATACTCTGAGTGACTGGAAATATCAGCTGGTACATATGGAATAATGAGAATTTAGGCAAGCTTGTAATTAAACTATACTATTAAAAAGGTATTTGGGAACTAAAGTAGGCATTAAGGGCCCGTTCACACCAGTTGCAGTGCATTCCGGCCCGATTCTGGCCAGAACGCACTGCCTCGCATTGCGGCCGGCTCACTTTTTTGTGGGGCGTGGAGGGCCATTGAAGTGAATGGCACCGTAGCCATGCCCTCCGGCCGCAATGCGATCGCCCGCATGGGATCGCAAGGCACATTGTACCTGCGGTCCGGTCTTGTGCGGTGCGATCAAAATGCTGCAGGTCCCATCCTGCCCCACTAAAAAGTGAGCCGGCCGCAATGCGAGGCAGTGCGTTCTGGCCAGAATTGGGCCGGAACACACTGCAACTGGTGTGAACGGGCCCCTAAGAGGTGACAGCATATATGCCTGCAAAGAATAATGAGTGTCAGTCACTGCTCCCCACAGGGATTCCCCCTCCCTTCTCTCTATTCCTCAAGTGCTTATTTGAGGGACAAAGCCAGCTGTCAATCATGCAGTGGGGTGTATCCTGCCAATGTTGTTGGGATCCTTCCCGGCTGCAGCGCGGCTCTGCACTGTCAGCATATAGCACGCAGTAGCCCGCTATATGCTGAGTTTGGGTCACAGGAGTACTTAACTAAATGTCCTCCTGTGACCTAAAAGAGGACTATAGCCAAAAAAAAGGTTTGGCCACAGTTCTCTTAACTTTTTAAGAGAAAGTTGAGATTTGCATTTTAAATGTCCAAGGTTTAATCCCATAATAGATGAATGCAGCCACCCCTTGGTGCTTGCTTTCACTTTTTAAGCTAAGATTTAATTGTATAGTTTCACTAGAGATACATTTTAATACAAGGAAGGGTTGCATATAATTGTACATAGCGCTATTAATAAATAACTTTGTAAATTCAATTCATATGAAATAAATGTTTTTAAAATTGCCTACAGTTGATCTTTAACACCATATACTGTATTTTCTCAGTTACCTCCAGGACAGTACACTTGACCTGCATGTAACTGGACAGGAACACAAAGATTAGCATATAAGGAAAATTCCTACCACATTCAAGTTATGCTTCCTGTTCCACTTCTTGATGAACGCTTTGTACCTGGATCCTGACCTTCTAACCAGGTTGCCCTCCCTTCTATCCTATTTCCTTTTGCTCATTCACAGGGTAGCTGTAGGTCAGCTGGGCTCTGTGGGGCAATGCAGAGGTGACATGTGCTGTATTACCTGCTTGAAGTGTCCCTGGGAGAACATGAGTTGGGTGCTACTTTAGCTGCTCAAATGCACCTTTTAAGAACATATAAAACATCCTGGAACACATATGTTGACCACAACCAGAAGTGACAAAGGAAGGCTTCAGAATTGATAGATGGGCCTCAGATATCAGTAGGCTGCAGGGAACTTAGACTGGAACTGACTAAGAAGCGTGGCCTGATGGAAGGACACCATGGACTTTTGTAGAGCACATGTATGCAGGATAGTGTTATTGAATCCAAATCTGTGCCTTATTTGATTTCCGTGTAAAGCAGGGCTGGGCAAATGCCAGGAGCAAGGTAACAAATGCTCCTTTAAAATTCACATCTGGTGCCTAACTTTTGAGTTTTTTTCTAGTTGTTGACAATGGAGCTTGCTCCAATAAATTCCTGCTGGCTGCTGGACTGGAGAGACTGAATACTAAATGCCATGATCAATTGTCTACCCCTGGACTTTTACATTCAGATTTGGCCTGGGAGAAATTTGGATTTTTCAGAACAAGAAAAACAATACTTTCCAATTCAGCAGCCCGTTTGTCCACAAAAGAACTGAATATTGACGTCTCCTTTTCCATCCTGCAAGATTGCACCTGTATATAGCAAAACAGTGTCCTCTGACTGACACAGGTATACACTTCAACACTATTAGAATTGCCACAGTACTTAAAAAATATCTAATCTGTTTTGAATTGGATTTTTAAAAGGGTCTATGTATAATTTGTTTCACACAAGATTCACACAGCTTTTGCCCAGTATTCACACATTCAGTTTGAAAAAGGTGTGACTCTTGTGTGAAAAAATATAAACAGACCCCATTATGTGCATAATAGCAATTCTTATATTGCCATGTCTGAGGATGTCAGTTCAAAGTTTTGGTAGCACTTAGTGTACATATTTTATTTGAATAAATATTTGGTGGTAGGTTTTCTTTGATTCTGCTAATATAGTTAGGTTAAAGGAAAATAAAACCAGTAGCTACCCGGATTTTCCTTCTTGGCACCGACCAATGACTGTATATGGTAGAAGCTCCACTTCTTCCTGCATCTTCAGGAGCCCTGAAGGGAATAACATATAAATGTTTGGATGTAGCCCACATCACTTTATGCTCATAAATAGATCAAACTATGAGAACAGGTCTAGTGCTACCATTGGTGAGCAGCAGGAAAGTAAAATTAAAGAAGGTATTGATACTTTCCATTTTCCTGGATACTACATGGCAGCAAATCAATCAACTAGAAGTTGAACTTTTTAAAGTTTAACTTTTAAAACAAGATATAAGAAGGCTGACAATGTTCTCCTTTCACTGGCCTGCAGTTTTGAAGATAAAAGAGACAACATGAGAAGGTGGGGGACCAGCTAAGCATTTATGTGGTTTCACTAGTCTTGTGAGTTGAGGAAGGGGCCTTAAAGCAGAACTAAACCCTCCTATCCTTTACAGCCAAGGAAGGGGCCATCCTAGCCTTGGTTTGAATCACCAGTTGCCATGGTGCTGCAGTTATGACACCAGCCATGTGAGGGATTGAAGGTTCGGCTGAGAGCTAACATAAGCACACTGGCATCTGTGGAAGAGACATGCCTTGAATGTAACTAGGGGGGATTTAGTAAAATCGGAGCAGACAGGATCTGGTGCACCTGTGCATACTACATAGGCGCATAGTTAGTCAGATAGAGTATTTCAAACACAGCGCTAGAGATGAAGTCAACAAAATATGTGTAAATATTCACAGATTGGGTTAAGTGATCAATGTATATCAATGTATAAATTATGTGTATTCGAAACAGTCATGAAAAGTAAACGAAAAAGATGGTTTGTATCACTGTGTGAACAACATGAGTGAGCAATTAACTGAAGATTAAGTGTAGCCTATGGCTAATAGATATTAATGACATTCAAACGTAAGTGAATAATCGTGATAAACTTAGATGACAAAGAATAAATAGTAAAATTAAATAATAATAAATAGATAAAGTCAGCTTCGATTAAGATTAAGTAATAGTAGATGATAGTAGATGGATGAAATCAGCTTCGATTAATGAATATAATACGGCATTACAACTTCATTGAAAATATATAACACAGTATCAGAAAAAACGTCTCAAAAAGATTACAGTGAATAATCTGTGACAGTTTTTTCAAAAAAGCTGAAAAAAATCGAATAATTCAAAAATTGGAAGAATAGCATTCAGTGATCTATATTGATCTTGAATTGTTTCTTTAAGTGAAGGCGATGCCAGAGACAGCAATGTTCAATGGGCGATATGAAGAGTAGATCTTAAAAAAATAGGCAATGTAAGAACAGGAAAAAGGGGGGGTGGGGGAGTTAGAAGACGGATGATTGTTGGTTCCTATCTCCTTAGTCCGACAAGCTGAATGCTTTTCTTCCAATTCTTGAATTATTCGATTTTTTTCAGCTTTTTTGAAAAAACTGTTACAGATTATTCACTGTCATCTTTTTGAGACGTTTTTTCTGATACTGTGTTATATATTTTCAAAGAAGTTGTAATGCCGTATTATATTCATTAATCGAAGCTGATTTCATCCATCTACTATCATCTACTATTACTTAATTTTAATCGAAGCTGACTTTATCTATTTATTATTATTTAATTTTACTATTTATTCTTTGTCATCTAAGTTTATCACGATTATTCACTTACGTTTGAATGTCATTAATATCTATTAGCCATAGGCTACACTTAATCTTCAGTTAATTGCTCACTCATGTTGTTCACACATTGATACAAACCATCTTTTTCGTTTACTTTTTATGACTGTCTCGAATACACATAATTTATACATTGATATACATTGATCACTTAACCCAATCTGTGAATATTTACACATATTTTGTTGACTTCATCTCTAGCGCTGTGTTTCAAATACTCTATCCATCTAAAGGCGGTTCACCTCCTTTATTTTCATAGCTGCTTTTTGATACAAGTACAATTTAGCCATATCCAGGAGCGCAGATTTATTTTTCCTATGCATAGTTAGTCAGGTTGAAAAAATATCAAGTCCATCGAGTTCAATCTATATGTACTAACCAATCATTTTGTATATTCAGCTTGTTCAGTTAAGGTTATAGCTTGCCATGCACAGCTACCCCACTTTTTGTCCACTCTAGCCTTAGTAAATTCCCCAATCAGATGGGTTTAGTTCCCCTTTGCCACCATATGAATGCTGCCATGTAGACTTCAGGAAAGTTTATTGCAACAGGTGATCCAATCTAAAACTGTCTGTTTCCTCTTATGTTGCTTTAAACTGTCATGATGGGACACTGGAGACTGGAGGGTTGTACAAGCCATGTTACATGTACCTATGATGAAAACCTCTTGAGTTGATCAGGTTTTAGAGCTGTTTAATCTCTAAAAATGTCCAGCATTGCTCGTTCTGATATTGATACCGTTTCACTAAACATATGCAAACGTTAGGTCCAAAACTCAGACTGCAGTAGTTCTGGCTTGTTCTATTTGCCAGAAGGTGCACAATTCCACCTCTTTGCACATTTACAAGTTGCGCCCTCAGGACTAGAACACAGTCCAACCATAGTGAAAGACATCACTTATTTTTAACTCCTTTTGATATACAGTACTGTGATATTTTATACTTTTTAGCGCATAGCAATGTAATTGAGCAATGATACAATAATAATATGCAAATGTTTAGTAATGATATTATGTTACTCTGTAGGTGCACAGAATCCTTGTGTCTCTTTAAGTGTGATATACAACATCTTGGTGAATGGATCCTGAAAGCTGGAGAATGGCTGCAACCAACCTTAAATTTCTCAACCAGCAGAAAAATGTCACTGTACCAAGGACTTTACAAGTAAATCATAGCAAGTACTTGTCTACAGAAAGACTAAAAAAAACAGCCATTGTAATGGCAAAGGAAGAGCCTGCACGCCTGGAAGGCCGGTTGCTACATGTCGAAGGCAGAACCAGTTACAGGTGTGGCCGCATATCATTGGATCAAGGGGAAGTGAACAAAGGTTATGGCGAAGACAGCAGGAAGATCATGGTCAGTAAACATTCAGTAAACAAGTGGGTCAACCTAGTACCAAATTCCTTGGATCACAGAGGAAATGTAGCACTTATCACTTATGGAAGCAGTGTACAAAAGTTTAAGGCACCTTATGAAATGGAACTTAAAAAGCTGCCTACACTAAATAAGGAAATTACTCGTTCCTTTATTACAAAACAGGAGAAGACATATTCACAAGTGTTCAGAAAAGATGTAAAGATCAGTGCTTCCAACTGTAGCAATGCCAAAGATCCTGCTTGTAAAGTTTTTGGGGATAAAGTCACTGTAAAAACTGAACCAATTTTAGTTGAAGATGATGATGTTCATGATGAAGACTCTAGCCTTTACCCTGGAATTCCATTCCATCCTTCCCACAAGAGAGTAGCGAGGCTTAATCATGCTCCCTTTCAGGGCGGTACAAGTGAACCATTGAAGAGAATGAAATTAAGTGGTCAAGAGGCTTTGATGCGCTCAGCAGAAAGATTCAACCAGAAAATGCTCAATCAGCAACGCATTCAGTATAAGGAATTGCCTGCTGCAAGTGGCACCTTTATGCAAAATGATATTGGCGTAAGCAGCATTCAAAGAGATAAATATGTTCGTATACCACCTGATGACTCAAAAGGGGAACTAGCCATTTCTGTACCAAAAGAAAAATCTGGAAGCTCCACCTTCAGGAGATTTCTGCTTATTGACAGCCAAGGTCTGCCTTACACTGTGGTTGTAGAAGAGTCTAAAACGTCAAAAGATAATATTCCAACCAATGATTCCAGCTCAGACCTTACACATATTGATGTCTCAAAATCAGTAGCGCCAAGAAAGGTCTATAAATGCCCAGTGTGCTTTCGGATATTTGAGTATCTGTCCTACCTCCAAAGACACAGCATTGCCCATTCCCAGCAGAAGCCTCACGTATGCAAGATTTGTGGCAAAGCTTTTAAGAGGACATCCCATCTTACACGTCATAAATACACTCATTTTGGTGGGAAACCTTGCCAGTGCCAAATTTGCCATCGCAGGTTTCGGGATATTGGTGAGCTGTCACGTCATCAGCTGAGTCATACTGGGGAACGGCCTCACCAATGTGAAGTCTGCCACATGCGCTTTGGAGAGCGCAACACTTTGCAGCGTCACATGCTTGCAAAACATTAAGAAGAGACAAGGAATGCGCTGGAAACATGTGACCAGTTCATGTTACATCAGTCACCTAACTGTAAAAGGAATAGCTTTACAAAATTGTTATACTGGTCCGTATTTTGTAGTGGACTTTGGTGGACCAAACAGGGGGTACCCCATGTTGTAGACTTGTATGGACCAAATGACACCTTAACTATATAGCACTTGCTTCCCATAAGGGAAGCCCCATCTTTATTTTTGTTCTTTAAACGTTGCACATAGGTTTATATTACTGTAGCAATCCATTTAATAACTAACCATGTATTCCTAAGTTTAGAGTGTGCAGTTAGAATGGTGCTTCCTTTTATTTTTTACTTATGAAGCGTATTTGTACCTTTAAACTAAAGAAACACCTTAAACACTTTGTGAGTGTGAAATACTAGATATGCATTACACTGGAGCTGTCAGATAAGCTTGATGCCTACATTTAAAATAGCTAAGACACCACAAAATACAATACATTAGGCACTTATCAAAAATATTTTGCATTCAGAAACTGTACATTAAAATGTATTGGCTATTATTTACAATACAGAATTCGCCTGAATGCCAAAGGCACTATTTTTTAAAAGTTTTTATTTTGTATTTTTTAAATTTTTGTTCAGGATAGATCGAAATGAAACCAGTCTTTAAAGTAGCGCAAAGGGGTTGATTTACTAAAGGCAAATAGGATTTTTACTTTGCATGGGAATTTTAAAGTGACAGTAAACTCAGTTAAACCTTAAAAATGCATTCACGTACCTTAATTATTAACAAAAATGTATCTTATTTGTGTATCACTCGACTGTAGATCCTCAAATCATCTCTGAATTGGTGCTGACACTGTCCTTCCTGCTGGAGAGTGGCTAATTTTGTTCCCCATGGTCCCTTGGTTGTATTGTAAAGTAGCCACCACTCCAAGCTCACTCCTTTGATGGACTACAATCTGAATACAAATGAGTAAACTAAACGTGAGATTGTAGTCCATCACAGGAGTGAGCTTGGAGTGGTGGCTACTTTACAATACAACCAAGGGACCATGGGGAACAAAATTAGCCACTCTCCAGCAGGAAGGACAGTGTCAGCACCAATTCAGAGATGATTTGAGGATCTACAGCCGAGTGATACACAAATAAGATACATTGAATGCAATTTTAATATTTAACTGAGTTTAGTGTCACCTGACACCTGAGTTTAGTGTCTCTTTAACTTTTCAAGGGAATTACCCCTTAGCTCATTAAATATGGTGACATTTTTTCTTTGCAAAGAGTACCCAATCATGGGCAGAAGAAAAAAAACAGTTTTTTTGCTTGCACATGATTGGATGATGGAAGTCAACAGAGGTTCACCTCATTAACTAAGCTCAGGGAAAATTCCCTTGCTAAGCGAACAGCTTATTTGCCTTTAGTAAAACAACCCCAAAGAGGTCCATCTCTGCAACCCTGGTATGAAGCAATGGGGCCATTTTTACTGTTTTCGGTTCTGCAGTCGCAGAGAAATGGGACTGTCCGGTGTGGGGAGCAGGGGTCAAATTTGTATTTATCCTGAACAACTCTTATATATGTAAATATATAAACAGTATATATGTTTTTTGCTTGTCTTATTCTTCTGCTATGCTTGTTTGTAAAACAAAGTAAGGTGGATAGTTTACTTAAAATCTGATTTATCACCTATCAGATATATACAATCATACTGCTGCATGGATATTAGTACTCCAAAAAACATTTTTTTAAAATAATTTCTACTAACAAATACAGTTAACCTTGGACTCTTGACTATAATGTTGTTAGTTGAGGGTCAGTCTGGTACTCTGACTTGGTAACTGCATGACATTGGTTCTATTCTACCATTGCACTAATTGAGGATATTTTCTTTATTCTCATGGAAGTAATGAAACTTCTTTTTAGCCAAGCAAATGGGGGATATTTGCAAGTAAGGCAGGGAGATAAAGTACGGAATAAGTGCACTCTGTTACTAGTCAAGACAAATTCACTTTGCAGTTTCTTGTGAATACTCCACCTCTGTCATTTTTACAGCTAATACATGGCATTCGTATAGTTAAAAACTTTTCTGAACAAATAACATTAATGCACTTGTATGCAAAACGTTTTTTAAAAATGCAGACACGATTTTAGAATAAAATACTACAAATTTAGTAAGTTGAACTCGCACTTTTCTTTGGTGCCCGATCCTCCCTGTGCATTGCTATGTAAATTTACCCCAGATGGTTAGTGCCTTGTTTGACAAATGTTAGTTATGTACCACAGTCACGGCCTTTTCTACCTGTAATCAAGCCACTCATGATTGAAATCTTTGCTGGCTATACTGTATGTGACACCTCCTTTTCTACCCTGTGGTAGTTGTACATCTAAGCTTTATTAGCTGATGCTGCCCCTTTAATCTTTGTATGTTATCTTCTCCTTGCCATCTTCGGTATGTATTTACGTACGTGCGCGTCATGTAGCATGCGCCATAGGCTACACGCCGCTCTAATAGCGGAATGCAAGTCTCTAAAAGCATATTTCCACTAATGCCATATATGGAAAAATCATGCACATGATGCATATGTAATGCTGCTTCACAGTTTAGACAAAAATTGTTTGCTCATGCATTTACATTCCTGCATTCATCAACGCAAGCAACACAATGTAGAGCTAATTTACACAACATCACCTTGCAATTCATGCAAGGCTTTGCACAACACACCTGTTGGGTGTGTACACACTACAAAGGTGTCTAGATTCCACCAATAGATCATGCTGGGAGGGAACACACTACAGAGGTGTATACTTGTTTGTGGTGTGTTTATAAGGTTAGTAAATCAACCCCAGCATTTCATCCACACACTGTTGTCCACAAAGTCTACAGAAACAAATGCATCTGTTTGATGAAATAATCATATTCCTTCTTGTGGCTGGTAACCATCACTAGCATGAGATTTTCCCATAGCAAACCTGCCCAGATGGAAATGTGGCAGTACTGCTTGGGCCTACAAGAAGGGGGTAGTCCCCGAAAAGCTGGTTCTTAAAAAATAACTGTTAGCACAAATAGAAAAAAGTATCATGGACAGTTCTCAACTGTATTGCTACAAATGCACTAATACACTAAAAAGTGTCTGTAAACCCCAAATTTTCCTTAGTGTATATTTCTTTAAAATATGATCTCTTCCTCTCTGCAGGCGCTTTCTATCATGTAGCTTTTCATTACAAGTAAATAATTGGCTGATCCTGCCATTTGTATGGACTTCCCTATAGTCAGTGACAACACTATGGCAGCCGATTCTCTGGCTGTTGCTGTTACTCAATGCTCCACCATCTCCCCATTAAGAAGCCATTCGCTTTTTAGTTTCTTCTCTGGAAGCCACCCCCACCCCGTGGTTCTTCACGTCGGCTTGCAGGGCGGTTCCAGCAGCTTAAATGACATCTGCTTCCTCCCCACCCTCCAGCCCACATAATCATCTTCGTTGGATTGCGGGGCAGCTCTGTGTGGCTACAGAAAAACAAACACCCTGCAGTGATATCTGCAGACAGGGTCAGAGGTTAGCTGCTTGCTCCTCCCCCATATCTTATAGTACGGTGCAGGGCAAGTACAATAGGCCACGTGACCACAGTATAAAAGGTATTTAGCATCAATATTATGTGAGCTATAGACTATTGCTTCCATTGTTAGATTAGCTGATACTATATATGAACTCGCTGAAATGGGTTTACTGACACTTTAAAGAGTAGTTCCACTTTCGCAGTCAAATTTGAGAAAAGCCTATGGGACTATGTTTGTTCTGTGTTCCTATTTACAAAACATAACGAAAAACATGTTTTAAAAAGATATTTCTTACCTTTTAGATGTTTCTTTGGGGAAGGCCTTTGTGCATATTCCAAGCTACTGAGAGTGAAACTATAGTATCAGACTAATGTCGGGTATACACGGTGCAAATTTGGGCCAGTTCCTGATGAGCTCTGACTTAGCTTCCTCTCAATAACACACAATGTCCTAATGGGTTTAACCCTTTGTTAGGGCAGACAGTGTTCAAATCTAGTTTACAACTGATAATGAAATCTGCTAGGAACAGGAACATATACCAAATATAAAGTAGATGTTTTCCCAATTAAGCATGCAAAAGTAGAGTTACACTTTAAGGGCCTGTGTGGATGGGCTTTTGTTTGCTACAAGCAGGTTTTGCGTCCCCATACAAGGAATGTGAAACCTGCTTTAAGCAGGTCAGAAGGAGAGCAAATGCAGTTCAAATGTACCTGATGATAAACTTTGAACGATCTCAGGAACATGACAAACTGATGCCATCAACACAGGCCCTAAGCCTGAGTGTCATGCTTATCTTATGGTTTCAATATGTGAAGTGAAGTTAGAAGGCCTGACCCAGCTATTAGTTCAGGATCAGTGACTCAGTAAGGTAGTAAAGCCATTGGATGACAACCAGAAAATTATCAGGGTTATTCACAAAAGAGTGAAGAGTTTGGAGAAGGCAGGAGAAGTGAACAATCTAGGACAACATAGCTGAACTGGAAAGTGAGCTGAATTGGAGAATGTTTCCAAATCAGCGATGTTGTCCTAGATTGTTCACTTCTCCTGCCTTCTCCAAACTCTTCACCCTTTTGTGAATAACCCCGTAAGTATTTATTTAAAAGATTTTTCAGCACCATATTTCCATCATGACGGGTTTACTTAACCTTGTGACAGATGCCACACAGGTCTGCATTTTAGATTGTAAACCAGAAGTGTCCCTACAAGTCCAGTCTGGTTTTTTTTTAAATTCTAAGCTGTGCTTTATAGCACCCAAAGTGACAGTGTGTACCGACAGCGTTATGCGTCACATACCCTGAGGAACTCTGCGCTGGTAAAACGATTTTTCCAAAATGCTGCATTTCTATATCTTGCCAAGGACTGAAAAGATAGGCCCAAATGTTTTTTTTTTTATAATATAGGAGGATTTGTTTTAATCTACTTTGTGTACTGCAACAAAAGCAGATGCAGGAAAGTAC